ATGCACACGTATGACGTCACTGTGCCGGGAGCGTTACTACCACGTGGGTCGACACGCACACATGACGTCATCCCGGCAGGAGGCGGGAATGACGTCAGGGCCGGTGCTGGACACGTGACCGGATCCCAGTGGGGGCCGGGGGTCCAGGGGCCCTCAGGGGGGCCCTCAGGGGGGCACGTGGACAGCAGGGGGGCTTCGAGAGGGTGCTCGAAGGGAGGCATGGCCGGGGTGGGGCCCGAGCATGCCGAGCCCCATATAAGCGGCCTCCTCAGGAGGTTCGGGGCTGTTCCTGCGAAGAATGAAGACGCCTCGTGAAGATGCCAAGAAGAGAAGGCCTACAGTGAGCGGACTGCCAGCAGCCACCTGGCTGGGTCACGCTGGAGTAGCTAAGAGACAATTGTGTGTTAGCTAGGGTAGGTCGGTGGTCACCACCCTATGTGTAGAGTAAGAGTAACTGTTGAGTAACCGTTGTGTTCATTAATAAATGAGTGTTGCATCCCAAGAAGTGTGTGCGCCTAAATTGAACCCACTACAATTGGTGTCAGAAGTGGCTAGCGTTAGGTGTTATCCTAGCCAGTATAGAATGCGCACGATTACTATAACTTACCTCGATGCTTTCACACGACGGAGACGGCGGGAAAATCGTCTTCAGGGCAGCCCCGGGGTCTGCAGCCCCGGTGAAGGAGGGAGATGGAGCTGCAGGCGGGGCAGCAGGATGCACATCACGTCGCTGCTTCGCTGCCATCAAGAGAGAGAGAGAGAGCGCCGGAGCTGGAAGAGAGAGGACGCCGCCGCTGCTGCGGGTGCCTCGGCACACTTTGCGCGTGTGGCCACCTAAACATCCATATGTGCCGCCGATACAGTCTATTCAGGTGTCTCGAGTTAATGAATTGGTGGCGCTAGACATTCTGGGACCCTTCCCGCCATCCGCGAAGGGTAATAAATACTTGTTGGTTGGGGTGGAATACCTCTCCCCTTGGCCGATGGCCTGGCCGTTGCCCGACCAGTCGGCGGCGTCTATTACAGACGCCTTTCTATTTGGGTACGTTATGGACAAGGGTGCGCCGGAGAGGTTGTGCCACACGGTGAGTGAACAACAATCTGATTGGGATTTGCATATCCCTGGGGTACTTTCGGCGTACCGGATGATGCCGCATGCGGCTACAGGATATTCGCCGTTTTTCCTTATGTACGGTCGTGAAAACGTGCCGCCGATGGATGTACAGTTGGGAACTGGAGTGAGGAGACCTGCTAAGCCTCTTCCTGATTATATTCAGGACACCGTTCACCGTGTTACTGAGGCGCGGGAGGGGGCCCGCATGGCTACGGCCAAAGCCCAGGCCCGGAACGAGCGGTGTGCTCGACGCTCTAAGGGGGAGTGCCCCTGGAAGGTTGGGGACCTGGCCTGGCTCCATTGCCCACAGGTGCGGCCAGGTACCTCTCCTAAATTACATAAACCATGGCAATGGCCGGTTCGCCTCATCGAGGTTCCCAACCCACAGTCGGCGCGTGTTCGGGTTGGATCTCGGCGTTGGTTCGTTCACACGTCGCGCTTGAAGCCATATGTGGCCCCTCTACCTGATGCGTCATCTCCTGATGTTGCCTTGCCGGGGTCTGTTGCTGCCAACTCACCCTTGCCTGTGCCTGTTGATCTTGCAAGAACGCCTGTCGTGCCTGTTACAGACAAGCTGGCCGTGACACCGCAGGGGATGAGGGGCTCTGCTCGGGGGTGCCTGCCACGGCTGCGGGAACTCCGAGCCCCGCGGCCCTTCCGACCCCGCTGCGGACACGAGTGCGGGACACCTCCGACGCTGAGCCTTCGGGGATACGGGACCGGGACGTTGGCGGGCCTCCAATAGTGACAGGAGGACTTCATCCTGTCGCTCCTAAAACCCCGTCACGTTCCCGGTCTGCGGGGGGGCTGCCGACCGTCCGGGACGGGCCGGCGACCCGCACACCCTCGAAATCCCTTACATTTCGTTGAATTTTATTGTTGTGTTCTTGTTCTTACTGTTATATTTATTGTATGCTTCGTTGTCCTTCGATGTGTCTTGGCCGTGTTTGCTCACATTACTTGTTGTCGTTATTGTTCAGCTGAGGTCGGCTGGATTTCTCTACGGGGGAGGGTGGTGTAATGCGGGCGTAAACGGCCTCGCGGATGTGACGTCACGGGCGGAGGAGTTAGGTCACGTGGGGGAGAGGGATCAAGTCTTAAGGGGGAGAAACCGGAAGAGAAGGGAGAGAGTTGTTGAGAGATATAGAGTGAGGCCACGCAGGGCGGAGGTTGGAGGGTGGCGAGATCGCCACACACCCAGGATAAGACTCGGCACCGTCGACCAGCGGTGACCGAGCACGGAGGAACGGGGAGCCGGCTGAGGCTGCAGTGACTGCAGCCGGAGGCCTGCACGAGGAGATCAGCAGCGGAGCTGCATCAGAGTGGAGTGAGAGGCTACGGGAGCGACGGCAGCATCGGGCTGCCAAGCAGGGGAGTCTCTGAGAGAGAGCCGTGTGGGACAAGTGTAAAGAACCCGAATAAAGGACAACGAAGACAGACACAGTGATCGAGTCCTTTATTACACATGTGTTGTTGTTGGTTCGCCTCGCCCCCCTCTCTCGGTGTGTGTACATATGTTCTCGCAGTAATTATTATCGTTGCCGGTTTATTGTTGATGTTGTTGTTGGAGGCACACTGGTTTTCTGTATTGTCACAGCCGGGACGGCTGTTTTTTTGCATGGGGGAGGGTGAGATAATGATTGTGGTATCATTACTGTGTACACACGCACACGTATGACGTCACTGTGCCGGGAGCGTTACTACCACGTGGGTCGACACACACATGACGTCAAGGCCGGTGCTGGACACGTGACCGGATCCCAGTGGGGGCCGGGGGTCCAGGGGGCCCTCGGGTGGGCATGGGTTGACTGTTGTGCCAGGCTAGGTGCTAGAGGAGGCCACGGGACAGACCCAGCAGGTGCCATGGGTTGACTGCTGTGCCAGGCTGGGTACAGGAGGAGATCAGGGGACAGACCCAGCTGGTGCCATGGGTTGACTGCTGTGCCAGGCTAGGTACAGGAGGCGGTCAATGGACAGACCCAGCAAGTGCCATGGGTTGACTGCTGTGCCAGGCTAGGTGCATCTGACGACAAACATCTGGGCAGTTCACCATCATTGGTTCAAGCAGAGCTTGTCTCTTGCTTCTGCTGATGAGACACGGAGCTGGGCAGACTCCAAATACATAGCAGCAGCAGGCATCGTCAGGGTTGGAATTGAACCCACGACCTCCTGTGTACCAGGCGAGGTAGTTAACATCACATCAGGGTCGGAATTGAACCCACGACCACCTGCGTACCAGGCGAGGTAGTTAACATCTCATCAGGGTCGGAATTGAACCCACGACCTCCTGTGTACCAGGCAAGGTAGTCAACATCTGGACCCAAGTCACCTCAGACCCCAGGCCGCAGCAACTCGCCACAACAAACACAATTGCAACGTTCTGTTAAATCCGCTTATTTATTAACAACAACAATCGATAAACAAACAATGGTCTAGATATATATGTACACATTACATTATAACTTTTTCTTATCTCTATCCTAACTCTTCACACGTGCACGTGGCTAGGCAGGCTCTAGTCCATTGTGTGGTGAGTGTGGCTGGTGAGTGTGGGTGGTGAGTGTGGTGAGTGTGGGTGGTGAGTGTGGGTGGTGTGTGTGGGTGGTGAGTGTGGCTGGTGAGTGTGGCTGGTGGGTGTGGGTGGTGAATGTGGGTGGTGAGTGTGGGTGGAGAGTGTGGGTGGTGAGTGTGAGTGTGTGGTGAGTGTGGCTGGTGAGTGGCTGGTGAGTGTGGCTGGTGAGTGTGGCTGGTGAGTGTGGGTGGAGAGTGTGGCTGGTGAGTGTGGGTGGTGAGTGTGGGTGGTGAGTGTGGTGAGTGTGGGTGGTGAGTGTGGGTGGTGAGTGTGAGTGGTCAGTGTGGGTGGTGAGTGTAGGTGGTGTATGTGGTGAGTGTGGTGTGGTGAGTGAGTGTGGTGAGTGTGGGTGGGGAGTGTGGGTGGTGAGTGTGTGGTGAGTGTGGTGGTGAGTGTGGGTGGTGAGTTTGGGTGGTGAGTGAGTGTGGGTGGTGAGTGTGGGTGGTGAGGATGGGTGGTGAGTGTGGTGAGTGTGGTGAGTGTGGGTGGTGAGTGAGGTGTGGTGAGTGTGGATGGTGAGTGTGGGTGGTAGTGTGGTGTGGTGAGTGTGGGTGGTGAGTGTGGTGTGGTGAGTGTGGGTGGTGAGTGTGGTGAGTGTGGGTAGTGAGTGTGTTGAGTGTGGGTGGTGAGTGTGGTGTGGTGAGTGTGGTGAGTGTGGGTGGTGAGTGTGGGTGGTGAGTGTGGGTGGTGAGTATGGTGAGTGTGGGTGGAGAGTGGGTGGTCAGTGTGGTCAATGTGGGTGGTGAGTGTGGGTGGGTGAGTGTGGTGAGTGTGGGTGGTGAGTGTGGTGTGGTGAGTGTGGTGTGGTGAGTGTGGTGAGTGTGGCTGGTGAGTGTGGGTGGTGAGTGTGGGTGGTCGGGAGTGTGGTGAGTGTGGGTGGTGAGTGTGGGTGGTGAGTGTGCGTGGTGAGTGTGGTGAGTGTGGGTGGTGAGTGTGGGTGGTGAGTGTGGGTGGTGAGTGTGGTGAGTGTGGGTGGGTGAGTGTGGGTGGTGAGTGAGTGTGGTGAGTGTTGGTGGTGAGTGTGGGTGGTGAGTGTGGGTGGGGAGTGTGGTGAGTGTGGATGTGAGTGTGGGTGGTGAGTGTGGGTGGGGAGTGTGGTGAGTTTGGGTGGTGAGTGTGGGTGGTGAGTGTGGTGAGTGTGGGTGGATGAGTGTGGGTGGTGAGTGTGGGTGGTGAGTGTGGGTAGTGAGTGTGACAGGTGAGTGTGGGTGGGGAGTGTGGTGAGTGTGGGTGGTGTGTGTGGGTGGGGAGTGTGGGTGGGGAGTGTGGTGAGTGTGGGTGGTGAGTGTGGGTGGTGAGTGTGGGTCCACTCCGCTACTCTGCCGTGGGCCGCCCACCACAGAGCAGCAGGCGGCTGAGCAGCGAGCGGAGTGAGCGGAGCGCCCTGCCCACACGCGCCAGGACCCCTCGGTCCCTCTCCCCCTCCTCCTCCTCTTCCTCCTTCTCCTCTTTATCCTCCTCCTCGTTGTCGTCATCCTCCTCCTGCGTCTCCACCACCTCCACCACCTCCGTCCTCTCTCCAAAGGTCTGGGTGAGCGACGATAATGACGATGGCGATAGGAGCTTCTCCTCCGGCTCCGCTCTGTGGAGAGAGAGGCAGCAGCACCACAGCAGCGCATCATCGTCATCATCATCATCGTTATCATCATCAACATCGTCATCAACATCGTCATCATCATCGTCGTCATCATCATCAACATCGTCATCATCGTCGTCGTCATCACCATCGTCGTCGTCATCGTCGTCGTCATCGTCGTCGTCATCATCGTCATCATCATCGTCGTCATGATCATCGTTATCATCATCGTCATCATCAGACCCACAGAGACCCATAGACCCACAGTGACCTATAGACCCACATAGACCAGAAGCCACTTGGCCATCTCAGCTGATAGCCGAATCAAGTGGGCTGATAACATCATCACCTTCTTCATCGCGTGGACATTCATAGCGGCAGTCAATTACTCGAAGTGCGTGACGCCGATTCTAAACGTGGAGGGGAAAATCTGCAGGACCCTGAGAAGAATCCACGTGGTGACCACCACGGGGACAGAAACGCAAAATGCAAAAATACAGCAACACAGGCATCGTCAGCATCGGGATCGAGCCCACGACCTCCTGTGTACCAGGCGAGGTAGTTAACATCTCATCAGGATCGAATCCACTACCTCCTGTGTACCAGGCGAGGTGGTTAACATCTCATCAGGATCGAACCCACAACCTCCTGTGTACCAGGCGAGGTAGTTAACATTCATCAGGGTCGGGATCGAAACCACGACCTCCTGCATACCAGGCGAGGTAGTTAACATCTCATCAGGATCGAACCCACTACCTCCTGCATACCAGGCGAGGTAGTTAACATCTAATCAGGGTCGGGATCGAACCCACGACCTCCTGCGTACCAGGCGAGGTAGTTAACATCTAATCAGGGTCGGGATCGAACCCATGACCTCCTGCGTTCCAGGCGAGGTACACAGAGAGAGGCTCACCGCGGCTGAGCAGCTGCAGAGCCTTGCACAGGAGTGGTGCCACCGCCGCTGCTGCTGATGGTGGTGGTGGCCCAGCGGGTGGTGTCGGCCCAGCTGGTGGTGGTGGCCCGGATGGTGGTGGTGGCCCAGTTGATGGGCCGATTGTAGATGATGGGAGTGGTGGTGGCGGTGGTGGGGGTGGCCCAGCTGGTGGTGGTGGCCCGGGTGGGGGTGGTGACCAAGATGGTGGTGGTGGCCCGGATGGTGGTGGTGGTGGGGATGGCCCGGGTGGTGGTGGTGGCCCGGATGGTGGTGGTGGTGGCCCGGATGGTGGCGTTGGTGGTGATGGCCCGGATGGTGGCGGTGGTGGGGATGGCCCGGGTGGTGGTGTTGGCCCGGATGGTGGTGGTGGTGGCCCGGATGGTGGCAGTGGTGGGGATGGCCCGGGTGGTGGTGGTGGCCCGGATGGTGGCGGTGGTAGCCCGGATGGTAGTGGAGGTGGCCTCACTGGCGGTGGTGGCCCGGGTGGTGGTGGTGGCCCGGGTGGTGGTGGGGGTGGCCCTGCTGGTGGTGGCCCGGATGGTGGTGGTGGTTTGGAGCCAGCTGTGAGCCAGCGCCTGCTCAGGCGTCATCCGGAGATTCGGATCCCATCTGTTGGGAGACGCACGGGGAGGGAGGGAGGGGAGGAGTGGGGGGGAGACGCACACGTGGTGAGAGGGGTATGGTGAGATGATTTGACAGGGTGGGAGGTGGGGGAAGAGTGGGGAGAGGGGGGGGATGGAGAAGGTGGGAGGGAGTGGTGGTGGGTAGTGAGTGGGTGGCAGAGCTGTCAACCCGTACGGATTATTCCATATTCTTGTACACGGAAATTGAGTTTTCAGATCCGTACGGAGTGCAGCCGTTTCAATTCTGGGTAAAAATAATAATTTGTGTCTATTTGTTTGTGTTTGTCCCTTGTGATGGGACTTTGCAGGATGAACGTTGAGATTTATAAGGGGCACGGAGTAACCGACAATGTCTGAGTTGGGTCTGTTGTAAGGTAGGGCACTGATAAGGTGTTGACAGGTATGGGGTGGTGAGTGGGGGTGAGTGAGTGGGGGTGAGTGGTGTGGGGATAAGTGGAGATAAGTGGGGGTGAGCGAGGGGTGAGTGTGGTTCGTACTGCAGGCAGCGGCTGACGAAGTCCACCAGCTGAGGGTGGTGGCCCTGCAGCGCACGGTGCAGGGGGAGGCTTCCTGGTGGCCGCTGCTTGGACATGTTTTTGGGGAGGCCCTCAGAGTCTGCAGAGAGACGCATGCAGAGTCACCAACCACCACGTCGCCCACATACCTGCTCATCCACTTACCTACCCACCTACCTATCCACCTACATACCCACTCACCGAACCACCTACATACTACCAACCAACCTACCTAACCACCCTACACACCCACCCAATCACTCACCTGCCCACTTACCCACCTACCCTCACACCGACCCACTCACCCACATACGCACTTACCCACCTACCCACTCACTCACCCACCCACTCACTCACCTACCTACTCACCTTCCCAACCACTCACTCACTCACCACCTACTCACTCACCCACCCACTTACCCACCCACTCACCTACCCACCCACTCGCTCACTCACCCACCCACCTATGCTTCCGAACGCCTGCTACTGAGAGCCCAAAACCCCACCCCACCCACCACCCCCGAGATAATCAGAGCCCCCCCAGCCCCCCCCCACAAAATAACCCTATAAGAGCCTCACTGCCACCCCACCTAACAAAACAGAATGGGTTACGTCGCTTGCGCCAGCCTGCTCGAGCCCTCGACTCACCAAAGAAAAGTATCCTTTTTGGGGCGTCGTCCACCATCTTTTTCGGGGGCATGCCCAGGATCTGCGCATGGTTTCGGACGAAGACAAAAGGAGGAGGGGGGGGGGTTACAGCCGGTGGAGCCTCAGCGGGCCAATTGGGGCAAATACTGCATGTCAGCGGTGAGTCGTGGTGGAGGCAGCGCCTGTGGAGGCCGGCACTGTGTACAAAGACAACAATCCCCGCTTCCCCGTATTATCCTCATCTCATTGCACACGAGGGGTGGGTGCCCAGTGCCACGCCCGGCCACCTTTGTCTCCCCCAGTGGAAATGTTTACTACACACTGCTACACCAGGTACAGTAGAACCTCTGGTCATGAACGCTTCTGATCACGACCAAATCGGGTTCCGACCAAAAAATTCACAAAAAATTTTAATCTGGTAACGAACGGGTGGCGATCAAACACGGCCGCGGCCGATTTCCCCTTCCGTGCCATTTTTTTGTTGAATTACACAACGCGTAACAGTTATCTATGTAACTTTTGTTACATAAAATTCCTAGTAAGATATTAATTTTGTGAGTGTAGTCATACCCCTCCCCCCTCATTCAAGCCGTAATTTAGAGAGCGAAAGCGCTGAGTACGTAAATCGCTCACGTAATAACCCGTTAATCTCTTCTCACATCATTCATACGATGATGCGGTGAAGTAAACGTTCATACGATATTACGGTGAATGCTTCCAAAAACAATACTGTAAGCAAATATTACTGTTAACTTACTTTCAATAGAAACATGAATTTCTCGTGCGAATATTCTCTCTCTCTCTCTCAGAATCGACCGACTGATGTAGCAGACGAAACAATCATCTTGTTGAACGATTCCAAACCTTGACGCAGCAATATTAGTTTTCCCTGTTGTTCAAGGTTTTCTCAGTGTTATTCAATGTTTTTACATTTAGTTTACTATTACACTGTGAATTCTATGGCATAATTAACTATTTTTGTGCTTAAAAATCTTTAAAAAACAATATTTACGTACAGTTCGTAGGAGTCTGGAACGGATTAATCGTATTTACATACAATCCAATGGGGAAATTAGGTTCGAGTCACGACCAAATCGGGTTGCGACCAAAGTTATGGAACGAATTATGGTCGTGACCAGAGGTTCTACTGTACTCGCTTGAGGCTTAGTCGACCTATGAGAGGCCCTGGACCAGTTCAGATATTCCTCTCTGGTGTTTGGGGTCGTGAGAGGGAATCAAACTCTATGAGTATGGGTTTCTGTGGGTCTGTATGGGTCTCTATGAGTATGGGTCTCTGTGCAACCCACAGAGACCCATACCCATAGACACCTGCCCGCCCACCCATCATACCCACCGTACCCACCCACCATACACACCCACCATACCCACCCACTATACCCACCGTACCCACCCACCCACCGCCCGTACCTCAATGCAGCAGGGCAGGTGTTCTTCGATGGCAGGTGAATCGAAGAGCACCTTGCCGGTGGCCATTTCGGCCAAGGTACAGCCCAGGCCCCACATGTCCACAGCGGAGGTGACATCGTAGCCCAGCAGCAGCTCCGGGGCCATGTAGGGCAACGTCCCACCCACGTTTTTGGCTGCACAGCAACAACAACAACGACGATGAATATGAAGTAGTCCCTCCGTCAACAGCGACGTGGGGGGAACAAGTTTCTCTTTTTGTCGGCTAAACGCGTAGTCGGCTTCTGCGACCGATATTTCATGGCGGAGGCGAGTTATTGGGTTGGACCGCGTACTCTGGCTGCCTGCCTGATGATGATGCTCAGCTGTAAATGCTCGAATTGTAAACGTCGTAGTGGGTTTACATCTCCAGCACACCGGTTAGTGCTGTGCAAGTGGCGAATTGGCGCGTCCTGTTTACGTGACGCTGAACCTCGCCGGCCGGCTGCGTCGGATGGCGGTGGGTTTGACGATGCAATGTTTAAATTGACGCCATCTAATCCCCCCCCCCCAAAAAAAAACTCCACGCATGCACGCAAGGCCACTCACTTTTATGCTTCAGGTAAAAGCTGCACCCGAAGTCGGTGACCCTCACTTTGCCGGTCGCGGTGAGCAGAATGTTGTCCTGGACAAAGGGGAGAGACAGAGAAGGAATTCCACGCTCTGAGGTTACGGCGAGAGTGTCCAGCCAGCAGTGGGTCGATCACGCAAAGTGACGCATTGACACCCACACGGGCAGCCCCCCCCCCCCCGACTTGCGACACGGGCGACGTGCCTGAGACCCGTTCAAAGTTGTATTTTACTACCAGGGTGTAAGGCCCCGCTGAGCTGCTGTGTAGGTCTTTTATCGGAAACGACCCGGCCATCACGTAATGACAGCAGCTCAACCAAGGGGCTGATATCATCATCAGCATCATCATCATCAGCATCATCATCATCAGCATCATCATCATCAGCATCATCAGCATCATCATCATAATTGCGTGGACATGTATAGCAGCAGCCAAACACTCTAGAGACGTGTTTCAACAAGCCCATAGAGACCCATACTCATAGAGACCCATACTCAGAGAGACCCACACAGACATAGAGATCCACATTCTCATAGAGACCCACATACTCATAGAGACCCACATACTCATAGAGACCCATACAGACCCACATAGACCCATACTCATAGAGACCCAAACAGACCCACAGAGACCCATACTCATAGAGACCCACAAAGACCAACAGAGATCCATACTCATAGAGACCCACACAGGCATAGAGAGACCCATACTCAGAGACCCACACAGACTTCGAGAGACACAGACTAAAACTAAGCTATGTTTTACTTTACTAGGTGTAAGGCCCCACTCTGAGCTGCTGTGCAGCTGTTTTGTCGGAAGCTCCCTGGCCATCACAAACGATAGCTCAACAACGTGGGCTGATATCAACATCATCATGCGGAAAGGTTACAGCAGCGGTCAAATACTCTAAACGCGTGGTCATGTTGATTCTGAACGTAGAGGGAAAAACTGGAGGGCTTGGAGGAAAATCCACGTGACCACCACGGGGAGCGAGAGAGATGCAAACTCCAAATATACAGCAGGAGTCAGGGTCGGGATCGAACCCACGACCCCCTGTATACCAGGCGAGGTAGTTAACATCTCCTAGCCACAGCTGCCTACCGTCAACCTGCTACCTCTATCTGGAAGGAGGAGGTGGCAGAGTCACAGTAGATTGACGAGCCAGCGCATCGACCCCGCGATCAACCGTGGCCGGCCTGCCTCCGCGCCAGCTAACCGAGCGCCCCGATGAGAGGGCGTGACCACCGCGCCCGCTCCGCTCACCGGCTTGATGTCCGCGTGGACGATGCCCCGCCCCTTGGCGTACAACAGGAAGTCGAGGATGGCCCTGGTGTGCTCCCTCAACCGCCTCACGTAGATTCGCCCGATGCTTCCTTTGCTCATGACGTCGTAGAGGCTCTTCCTGGCACGACAACGACGACGACGTTTAAACCCCTTTCCCGTTCCGATGACGTCCGCTCGGCGACCCACGACCCGGACCCCAAACCGACTTGTGCCACTTGGTTAGTTTTGGGGGGAGGGGTCATGAAACGCCTCGTCGCTCCGCGGTATTCATCCTCGGTCTCGCCGCGCCGCACTAGCGCCAAGGGAACTGAATGTTTAGTGATAATAACTTCATTATGATTTTATTATAATTTCACCATGATTATGTTATTCCCTTTTATTATTTCATTACTATCATTTTATTACTATCATATCACAATTTAACAATAAATGTATTCTATTTATTATTTTTTATTATCAATATTTCTTAATATAAATTTGTATTATAATTTTAATTAGCAATATATTCGTATTATTTCATTATAATTTCCTTATCTTATAATTTTTTCCGTTATTTAATTGCCATATTATTGTTAATTAGAATTTTTTCATTATTCACCTATTAATATCGTATTATTAATATATTTTACTAGCAGGTGTACCCGTTCTTCGCACGGAAATTAATAGTTTAGTCCACAGATGTGACGTCACCGCTCACTGCCGTGCAATAGATTATATCCATTATTCCCCCCCCAAAATACAAAAGTCTATTTTTATACTTTTTACATTGTGTACAGTACGGAAGCTACCCACGTGCCAAATTTAAAGTTTTTTGCATGTTGGGAAGTATGCAAAACATTTCGAACAGACACACATATCCACACATTTCCCTTTTATTTCTATGTAGATTCTCATGAAAAAAATAAATGTGTGATTCATGGGGAGCATTTCCGTGAGTCGCGTCTTCCGCAACCCGGGGGACTTCCTGCGTCTGATTTGTCGCCACGGTGTTCTGCGATTGTCGATAACGCAGCGGTTCGCTGTGCTGAGCTGCTTGACCCACGCGGGCCATGTGGACGCGTGCTGCTCGACTTCCCAGAGCTTTGGAAACTCGATTGCCAAACAAATTGTGCTTGTAAAATTGTCAGATTAATTATTGCATAAATTAATTATCAAAATAGTAATTAAATAAGTTACGTATTCGATTAAATTAACTGATTTAAAGAGGCGAGACATATTTTGATGAATTGTTAACTATCTTTAAACTCATTAAATAAACTGCAAAAATAAGTTAATTATGAAAGGTATGAAAAAAAAGCAATTTGGGAACAAATTAGAAAATTAATCCCCCCCCCCCACTTTGCACAAGAGCACAGAAGCCTGATCACCACATCTGTGCCTCTATATAAGGAACGAAACAGGTGGAATTCTCCACAAAATGTGGCTGTCGCCTGATGAAGCCAGTTGTAATTACTGGCGAAACATCATACTCAGAGATTGGAAATGTTGTGGCTTGGCTCTCCAACACACTGTTGTGCTGTACCATTATACTCCACTATACACTACTATACACTACTATACACTACACTTTCCATTACACTGTACACTACACAATACACTACTATACACTACTATACACTACACTACTATACACTACACTTTCTACTACACTATACACTACACTATACACTACTATACACTACACTTTCTACTACACTATACACTACTATACACTACACTATACACTACTACACTTTACACGACACTACACAATAGTACTGTACTAGTAACGAATTGGCACGTTCTGTTTGCATGACAACCCTTACTAGTTGGCTATGTTGGGTGGTGGCGGGTTTAACGACACAACATTTATATATTTACTTAATCTAACCAAAAATACCTCTATTATGGATGATATTGGTCGCGAAAGCCCTGCGTGTGAAACTCAATCAATAAATGTGATAAATCGATAAATCTAGTTGCTTGATCATATGTTAAATAAATATTTATTCCGAAATAAATCAACTATCGAGCGGAGCAATGGACACGCACACGCACGTGGGTGGGTGGGTGGGAAGGGGAGGTTCGCGTACTTCAAGAGCTCGACGACGAGGCAATTGTGTCCGCGGAATTGGAACGTGTCCAAGACCCGGATGACTCCGTAGCGCTCATCGCTGGCCTTGCCCTGCAGCTCATTGGCCACCTCCAGCTCCGTCCTCTGACGGGCCGCTGTCGAGGAGCTGTGCAGCGGGAGGGGGAAGGCCACGAAATCAACGGTGACTCTGTGGGTGACTCGATGGGTGTCTCTGTGGGTGTCTCTGTGGGGGTCTCTATGGGTGTCTCTGTGGGTGTCTCTGTGGGGGTCTCTGTGGGTGACTCTGTGGGTGTCTCTGTGGGTGACTCTGTGGGGGTCTCTGTGGGTGACTGTAGATATCTGTGGGTCGGGGTGTTTCTGTGGGCCTCTGTGGGTCTCTAAGGGTATGGGTGTCTCTGTGGGTCTCTCAGGGTCTCTATTAGTCTGGGTGTCTCTGTGGGTCTCTAAGGGTCTGGGTGTCTCTGTGGGTGTCTCTGTGGGTCTCTCAGGGTCTGGGTGTCTCTGTGGGTGACTCTGTGGGTTACTCTGCGGGTTTCTGTTGGGTCTCTATGGGTATTCATTCAGACTCTGTCGCCTCGACAGACCTGGTTTTCACCTGAGGACGGCTGCTTGCGTTGTGGCCGAAACGTCGTGAGAATTATTTTATTGTGTTTTATTTTTATTATTTTATTACTTCCCTTCTACGTGACTTTACCGAAAGAACCAAGAAGATGAATCCCTGCAGTCACGAAAGCTTTAAATAGAAATTCTCTATGGGTATTTTAGTTCATAGTTAGCAATAGTTGTACAGCAGTTAATATTTTGTTAGTTAACTTTAGTTCATAGCAGTAGTCTTACGGCACGTTATTATTTTGTGAGTTCATAGCAGCAGTTTTACGGCAGTTAGTGCTTCTTTTTAGTTAGTTCATAGCAGTAAGTTTTCATAGCAGTTAGTATTCTGTTACTTTATAGTTAGCAGCAGTTTTATGGCAGTAAGATCTTGTTAGTTTATAGTTAGCAGCAGTTTTAGGGCAGTTAGTATTTTGTCAGCGAGTCCATAGTTATTGGCAGTTTCACGGCGGTGCCTCCAATCATTTGATGATTATTTTTCGAGAGCGCGGGCCACCGCGGAAGGCCCTCCGACTCACCTCCAGGGCAGCGACAGCATCTTGACGGCCACGAGTGTTTTGGTTTTGTGGTCGAGGCACTGCAGCACCAGGCCCTGGCCTCCCTCGCCAATCATCTTCTGCACCTCATAGCGGTAGTGGAGCTGTTCCTTGCGGACCTAGGAGGCGAAGGCCAGTTGTCAAGAGTCGTCGCAATCAGAGCGTCGAATGTTAGGTGGTTGCAGCAGCAGTCCGGGCTTCCACGACCGCCATTATCAGCTATAGAGGTTTCTTTTTGCTTGGGTGTTAGATCGCGGAAATGTATAAATGTTTAGTTAAACTGCCGAATGCTTGACTTAAAGCTTTCGTGACTGCAGGAATTCGTATTCTTGGATCTTTCGGTAAAGTCACATAGGTTCAAAGAAAAAAATATAAATAACAGACAACTGGGACGTTTCGATCGCAACGCAAGCGGTCATCTTCCTGTTATTTTTATTATTTTCTTTGAACCTATCTACGTGACTTTACCGAAAGACCCAAGAATACCGAATGGCGTTAAAACTTGGGGGGATTTAACTACACATATTTGGACCATCTTATTTGACGGGCACTATTCTTTAGTTACCGTACAGTTTTCTGATAGACAGCCAGTTTTGTTTTATCATGTTTAGCTTCTTTTTTCACACACTGGTTTCCTGCTTTAAGTTTTACCCACCCAGCAACATAGCGAGGGGCTGTTTCTTCCTGACCTGCTTTTCTGCTTCTACCATCTACGTAACAAAGGCTCAGTCCCATTAGAAGCAGTCGCACCTTAACAACTCTGGCACCTCCCAGCTCAACCAGTCTACATAACAAAGGCTCAGTCCTAGCAGCAGCCTCAGCCGCAGCAGCCTCAGCCGCACCAACCTTACCATAATAAAAAAACTCCTCCCCCCCTCAACCAGTATATATACAAGGTCGGGTCTCTTGGAATTTCTCTTTACTTGATACAGCAATCGTGCTGTGACAGTTCCACCTGAAGACGGAAGCTTGTGTTGCCTCCGAAACGTCGTGATTTTTTATTTTACTTTTATTAATTTTAATTTTATTTTTTACCTACGTGACTTCACCGAAAAAACCCTAGAGTACTTGGGGGGGGGGGGTTGTTCGCCTTTTTGCGTTTATCCATCTAACACTGGGTAGTGAGACACTGGTGGCGAGACACTGGTGGCGAGACACTGGGTAGTGAGACACTGGTAGTGAGACACTGGTAGTAAGACACTGGGTAGTGAGACACTGGTGGTGAGACACTGGGTAGTGAGACACTGGTGGTGAGACATTGGGTAGTGAGACACAGGTTGTGAGACACTGGTAGTGACACACTGGGTGGTGAGACACTGGTAGTGAGACACTGGTAGTGAGACACTGGGTAGTGAGACACTGGTAGTGAGACTAGGTCCTAAAGAAGGATGCTCTCTCCGGTGTAGACCAATCAGTTTCAAAGGCAATGCCATACATTATCAGAGCATGTTTTTGTCTGCATGTTCACCACAAGTATGTATTTTATGTCCAGAAAGGCTACAGCCTATTGCTACGCTGTTAAAGGCCCCACCACTGAGCTGCTATGTAGCCCTTGTTTCTCAAGAGCGACCTGGCCATCACAAATCATTGCTCAACGAAGTGGGGCCTCATCTTTATCACCATGTGGAAATGTACAGCAGAAGCAGCCAATTACTCTAAATGTGTGTTGACGTTGTTTCTAAATGTGGAAGGAGAAAAATCCACGCAACCACGGGGAGAAAGATAGAGACGCAAACTCCAAATATACAGCAGGCGTCAGGGTCGGTATCGAACCCACGACCTCCTGTATACCAGGGGAGGGAGTTAACATCTCCTGGCCACCACGGCTGACGCCGTGAGTGGATTAGCCAAAGTTTACTACATATGGTGCGTAATAACTTTAACACTTTCACAGAGACCCACAGACACCCAGACCAATAAAGACCCAAACAGATCCTTAGACACCCACAGAGACCCCCAGAAACCCGTAACACAAAACCTTAACTGACTGTCCGTGTCTGGTGGTGGTGGCAGGTTGAACGATTACACATTTATACTCATGCCTTCTAACCCAACAAAAACCTCTGTGGGTGTCTAATGGTGTCTCTTTGGGTGCCTTTGTGGGTCTCAATGGGAGTGGGTCTCTATGGGTGTCTCTATGGGTCTCTGTGGGTGTCTCTTTGGGTCTCCATGGGTGTCTCTGTGTCTCTGTGAGCCTCACAGGGATGTAGTTGTTGTTATCGTCGTCGGAGCTGTCGGTGTTGTTGCCACCCCGGGGTTTGTCGACCTTGTCCAAAGTGAAGAACCATACTTGTTTCATGGCCTCCAGCTCCAGCTTTTGGCGATGACTTAGCTGAGGCCCAAAGAGATCCAGGATCGCTGCACACGTGACAACAATAACAACATCTTAGATTTTTAACTATTTCTGTTTTGTTTACATGCCAGGTAAGGCCCCCGCTAGAGCTACATCGTCATCGTCGTCATTATCATAACATGGAGACTCATCACTCCACTCAGACCCACAGAGACCCACAGAAACCCATACTTGTGTAGGACTTGAAATGTCACGCGCCCCGCGTTATGTTGCTATGCGAGCGAGCAGCGTACAGTGGGGGCAACTGAGGATACAGTTGTTGTTGTGTGCCATTGAGAGGGAGGTCATTAAGAGACACCACAGGTGTTAAGGGTAACGGAGGACGCAGGCCGGTGATTGGTCAGGAGGGTGAGTGGCTGATGACTGGCGGCCGGGCTGATGGCGATAACATGGTCACGTGAGGCTGGGGGCCTGGGGGCGAGTAGCAAAGCGGGGGATGAGATAATTAATTGGGGCTGATTGGTTCGGGTATAAAGGCACAGCGTAACGGAGAGACGGGGGTCTTGGGGGAGTGTTGGAGTCGGAGATGGAGACGGTGCCTGGGACAGAGACGGAGCAGCAGGGAGCAGGAATAGATACAGATAGGGTAGCAGTGGATAGAGAGAATACAGCGTACAGTAGCAGTGGATAGAGAGAATACAGATAGGGTAGCAGTGGACGGAGCGAGTACTGAGTAGGGTAGCAGCGGAGTAACGGACCTAGGGGGAGAGAGAGAGAGAGCGAGCGAAGTCGCGGAGCGAGCGAACGGAGAGACATGGAGTGATGACGAGGAGGTGTGAACTATATGTGTGAATAAAAGAGACGAGAAAGACAAGAAGCTGTCGCATCAGTAAGAGTCCTACACTTGTATCGAACCATAGAGACCCACAGAGACCCATACTCATATAGATCCATAGATCCACAGATATCCATGCTCATATCGAACCATAACGACCATAGAGACCCATACTAAAACTAAACTATTTATTTTTATTTTGGCAGGTAAGGCCCCACAGAAGTGGCTGTGATCTTCATCACGTGGAAATATATAGTGGCCGCCAAATACTGTATACCCACGTAACATGGCTGCCATGACATCCCTCGTGCAACATGGACACAATGACAACCCCCATGCAATATGGCTGCCATGACATCCCCCATGCAACATGGCCATCATGACATCCCTCATGAAACATGGCCGCCCTAAAGACCCCCATGTATAATGGCCATCGTGAAATCCTGCACGTAACATGGCCATAGTGACGTCCCCTATGCAGCATGGCTGTAGTGATGTACCCCATGCAACATTGCTGCCGTGACATCCCTCATGCAAAATGGCCACAATGAAGTCCCCCATGCAACATGGCTGCCATAAAGTCTCATAAACAACATGGCCACCGTGAAGTCCCTAATGAAAAATGGCGGTAGTGACTTCCCCCCATTCAACGTGGCCATTTTTGCTGACTGCTGTTCCTCACCTCGAGGCGATTTACTGAGGATAGGGCCGGTGCCGGCTGCGGACAACGCGCTCCACGTGTTGCCAGAGACTCCCTCCCTCCTTGCTCCAGCTTGGCTCGTCTACATGCACATACACACATAATAAACAATATTGGAGTACGCTCCTCTACACACAGACTTCAAATAAACAGTAGACATCAGGTCGACCTCCTGGAAACCAAGTGAGGTTGTTAATATCTCGCCATTGTGGTGCCACAGAGTAGTGTACAGGCATCACAAACACTCACTACATCTCCCGGAGGATTGTTCCGCTGTTCGGTTCGCAAGTGCGAGTTGTAAGTCGATGTTAAACAAATATATATTTCATGGAAGCTTGTTTGTAGTGTGGGTGGTGTTTGTAAGTGTGGGTGGTGTTCGTAAGTGAGGGTGTTGTTCGTAAGTGAAGGTGGTGTTCGAAAGTATGGGTGGTGTTTATAAGTGCTATTGGTGTTCGTTAGTGCTGGTAGTGTTAGTAAGTGCTGGTGGTGTTCGTAAGTGAGGGTGGTGTTCGTAAGTGTGGGTGGTGTTCATAAGTGTGGGTGGTGTTGGTGAGTGCTGGTGGTGTTCGTAAGTCGAGCGTAGGGGCCCATGCGTACCTCCATGGTGTTGATACTCAGAGTGGCTTCTCTCACGCAGCAGTCCCCAAGGTCTCTGTGTGGAAAGCTGTGGGTGGGTGGGGGGGTGGAGATGGTGTAGAGAGTCACAACACGAACTCACATCCTCACCACTTTCTCTCATCCCCCAACCAGTAACCCACCATTCTAACCACGAACCCCATCCTCACCACAAACTCACAACACGGACTCACATCCTCACCACAAACTCACAACACGGACTCATATCCTCACCATGAACTCACAACATGGACTCACATCCTCACCACAAACTCATATGAACTCACATGCGCACCACGGACCCACATCCGCACCACGGACCCACACACTCACCACGAACCCACAACATGGACCCACACACTCACCACCAACCCACATCCTCACCACTGACCCACACACTCACCACGAACCAACAACACGTAACCACACACTCACCACGCACCACATCCACACCACGAACCCACACACTCACCACGAACCCACAACACGGACCCACACACTCTCCAAGCACCCACATCCTCACCACGGACCCACACACTCACCACGAACCCACAACATGGACCCACACACTCACCACGCACCCACGAACCCACAACACGGACCCACACACTCACCACGAACCCACAACACGGACCCACACACTCACCATGAACCCACAAAACTCACCTCGTCAAAAGTTTCGCTCGGATGGCTTCAGCAGAAGTTGTTCGAAAGGCGACGATGATGAAGCTGAAGCAGCTGAAGTTTAAGAAGCTGCCGTCTCCTTCACGCCCGTCTCGAACTCTGAGGAAGCACGTGGTGATTGCGACGTCACCGGTGATGTCACAGCTCGAGGGACTTGACCACGCCCCCTTTAGCCACGCCCTCCGAGTGACGTGCCAGTGCGCGACCACGCCCCCGGAAGCCGCCCCCCGCCCCTCCTCTTGGGGCGACCTCCACCCCCAGCTTCTACTTCCGCTTCCGGTCAGGGCGAATGGCGGCGATGGCGGGAAAAATCTGAACCCTGTCTGGGCCTCCTCGTGGTCGACTCAGCCTGAAGATGCCGACACGGGGCTCTGTGTGAGGTGAGTCTGTGAGTCTCCGTGTGTGTCTGTGTGAGGTGAGTCTGTGGGTCTCTGTGTGTGTCTGTGTGAGGTGAGTCTGTGGGTCTCTGTGTGATGGTCTGTGGAGTCTGTGGGTCTCTGTGTGATGAGTCTGTGGGTCTCTGTGTGATGAGTCTGTGGGTCTCTGTGTGATGAGTCTGTGGGTCTCTGTGTGGTGAGTCTGTGGTCTCTGTGTGATGAGTCTGTGGGTCTCTGTGTGGTGAGTCTGTGGTCTCTGTGTGGTGAGTCTGTGGGTCTCTGTGTGGTGAGTCTGTGGGTCTCTGTGTGGTGAGTCTGTGGGTCTCTGTGTGGTGAGTCTGTGGGTCTCTGTGTGGTGAGTCTGTGGGTCTCTGTGTGATGAGTCTGTGGGTCTCTGTGTGGTGAGTCTGTGGGTCTCTGTGTGGTGAGTCTGTGGGTCTCTGTGTGGTGAGTCTGTGGGTCTCTGTGTGATGAGTCTGTGGGTCTCTGTGTGATGAGTCTGTGGGTCTCTGTGTGGTGAGTCTGTGGGTCTCTGTGTGGTGAGTCTGTGGGTCTCTGTGTGGTGAGTCTGTGGGTCTCTGTGTGATGAGTCTGTGGGTCTCTGTGTGGTGAGTCTGTGGGTCTCTGTGTGGTGAGTCTGTGGGTCTCTGTGTGGTGAGTCTGTGGGTCTCTGTGTGGTGAATCTGAGTCTCTGTGGGTGTCTTTACATTTCCACACGATGATAATGTTATCAGCCACTTGGTTGAGCTATCATTTGTAATAGCCAGCGCTACATAGCTCCTTACCTGGTAACATTTAAAATCTTTAGTATTGTATCTCTGTGGGTCTCTGTGTGTGTCTCTGCTTGTCTGTGGATCTCTATGTATATCTATGGATCTGTGTGTCTCTATGGGTCTTTGTGTATTTCTATGGGTCTTTGTCTTTACGATTCTCTGTGTATTTATATGGTTTTCTATGTATCTCTATGAGTCTGTATGTATTACTATAGGTCTCTGTCTCTATGGGTCCTTATGTATCTCTGTGGGTCTCTCCGTATCTGTATGGGTCTCTATGTATCACTATTGGTCTCTGTGTGTCTCTATGGGTCACTTTGTATTTCTATGTATCTCTATGGGTTTCTATATATCTCTATGGGTCTCTGTGTGTCTCTGGATCTTTGTGTGTCTTTATGGGTCTCTATGTATCTTTATGGGTCTCTGTGTGTCTCTATGGGTTTCTGGGTGTCTCTGTGTTATCCTTGATCTGTGTGTCTCTATCGGTATCTATGTATATCTATGGGTCTCTATGTATCACTATGTATCTATATGTATCTCTATGGGTTTCTATATATCTCTATCGATCTCTATGTATATCTATGGGTCTCTACGTATCACTTTGGGTCTCTGTGTGTCCCTATGGGTCTCTATGTATCACTATGGGTCTCTGTTTATCTCTATGGGTCTCCGTGTATCTCTGGATCTCTGTGTGTTTCTATCGGTCTCTATGTATCTCTTTCGGTTTCTATGTGTGACTATTGGTTTTTATGTGTCTCTATGGGTCTCTGTGTGTCTTTATGGGTCTCTATGTATCACAATGGGTCTCTGTGTGTCTCTATGGATTAGCGTGGTTTCTTAAGCGAACTGGGGAATGTGGTGGGCGCGTAAAATGGGAGATGGTGGGAGCTCTATGGGATTGTCCGGCGAGTGCGATTGTAATGCGTAGTGCGGATCGGTAGGGAGGCTTATGTCATGTAGGGAATGTGGAGGGTGGGTAAAGTGTGAGCCTATGGGAGTGGCCGGCAAGTGCGATTGTAATGCGTAGTGCGGATAAGCGTTGTTTCTTAAGCGACCTGGGGAATGTGGGGACGGGTAACGTCGGAGACTATGGGACTAGCCGGTGAAGGTGATTGCAATTTGTAGTGCGGATAGGTTAGGTAAGCTCTGTCCATGACGGCCCGTGCAGAACTCATTAATTGTAACTCAGACACGTGCCCCACCCCACTTGTGACGTCACCACGGCACTTATGCCAGGCTAGGTGCATGCACTCTGAGGCCACGTGAAGTGTCGATGGGTCGCTGCTGGCAGGAGGTCACGGGACAGACCCAGCAGGTGCCATGGGTTGACTGCTGTGCCAGGCTAGGTGCAGGAGGAGGCCACGGGACAGACCCAGCAGGTGCCATGGGTTGACTGCTGTGCCAGGCTAGGTGCATCTGACGACAAACATCTGGGCAGTTCACCATCATTGGTTCAAGCAGAGCTTGTCTCTTGCTTCTGCTGATGAGACACGGAGTTGGGCAGACTCCAAATATACAGCAGCAGCAGGCATCGACAGGGTTGGGATCGAACCCACGACCTCCTATGTACCAGGCGAGGTAGTTAATATCTCATCAGGGTCAGGATCGAATCCACAACCTCTTGTGTACCAGGCGAGGTAGTCAACATCTGGACCAAAGTCACCTGAGACCCAGGCAGCAGCAACTCGCCACAACAAACACAATTGCAAAGTTCTGTTGAGTCAGCTTATTTATTAACAACAACAATCGATAAACAAACAATGGTCTAGATATATATGTACACATTATTACATTATAATATTTTTTTATCTCTATCCTAACTCTTCACACATGCACGTGGCTAAGCAGGCTCTAGTCCATTGGGTGGTGAGTGTGGGTGGTGTGGGTGGTGTGGTGATTGTGGGTGGTGAGTGTGGGTGGTGAGTGTGGTGTGTGTGGTGAGTGAGTGGTGTATGTGGGTGGTGAGTGTGGGTGGTGTGGTGAGTGTG